TCTAATTCCAGTAAAGACAGAGAAGAAGAAGGAAATCCAGTAAGGTTGTTTCCGAGTTAAAGTAGTTCTTAAAGGATCAAAATACTAATTATTTAGCATTTCTCAGGTTATGAGGACCTTAGGCATTTGAAAAAGTGAACCAACATTAATCCAAGGTTGCACTGAAAATCTGTCGAAATAATGCAGGTGGGAATGACATTAATTTTTTCCTGTATTTTTTCTTTTACATAGTCCATTCTCTTGCTGTTTTCAAGTTGACTTTTGCCTGTTTAAAGAAACGGGGTAACAGAGAGTGTGTTGTATCCTCAATCTTTCAGACGCCATCTTGTTGTGGCACTCAGGTAACTGGAAGTGAAATTGCAAGACTGCTGAAAAAATCTGCTGGAGGATGCTTTAGAATATGTTCAAAAGGCACATTTTTTCCAGACTCACCTGCATAAAGGCACTGCATTTGAAATGGATTTCCATAACTGTTTACATTAGTACTAGCACGTTTGAGATCTGATACAGTTAAAAGAAATGCTTCCTTTTTAATTTTTTAATACAAGTGCCATACAAGATGAGAGGAGTTGTGATTGCCAGAGGTAACTGACTAGTTTTGTAATGGAAGAAGCTGCTGATTCTCCAAGGTACAGCAGAAAGTATTTTCAAGTGCTTTGTTGTATAAACACAAGGCAGAATTTTACCAGAGCCCTTAAAACTGACAATACTGTCGTAAAGTCTATACCATGAAGATATGGGGGTTATCTTTCACTCTTTTTAGTCTTCTGAGAATATGCCTAAGGGGCAAAGCCTCAGGAAATGCAATTGTCCTTTTAAACTTAAAGGGTAAATGGACAATCTTGTCATTAGAGCACAGTGTTTGGAGCTGCCAAAACACTGCGCAGCCAACTTCTGTATTTCCAGGGTAGTCAGGAGTTGCGTAATGCATATAATGCAAGGATATGGGTAATATGTAAATGAAGCATAAGGATCTTTTTTGAAAATGATTAGAGAAAGCCATAATTTGACAATGAGGCTGCCGTATGAGTGGCATCCCCTGTGTATCCTGACACTGGTGGGAGTGCTCATAGCCCATCACACTGTCCAACGCATTACAGCTCATGACTATGGTAGTTGACAGTGCCAATTTTGAGAGCTCCCATGCCAGCCTAGGGCTGGCCAGGCTCACCCATGGGGACTTCCCCTTCCCTGGGAAGAAGAAAAGCTGGCATGCCATCAAGGTCCCTTTTCTCTTTCACCTGAAGGTTGCTGCAAGGCTGCAGATTCTGGAAAGCTCCCTATATCTCAGATGGAATCATCTTATGCCTGGTCCTGTGACTGTCACCAAACCCAGGTAGTTCTGTGCAGTGAGCAGTTTCTAGATATTGTCAGAAGATTCTCAAGCAAGAGCCACATCCCTGGCAGTATTCAAGGCCAGGTTGGAGTGGGCTTGGAGCAACCTGGTCTAGTGGAAAGTGTTCTGCCTATGGCAGTGTGGTTGAAACTGGATGGCTTTTAAGGTCACTTCCAACCCAAACAATTCTGTGATTCTATGAAGCAGCAGTACTCGCAGCCCTGCCTTGTCATCTGCACTGCTCTATCCTGCACCTGAGGATGTGGGTTAGAATGAGCTTCTTCGTAAGTGTTCTGCTCCATTTGCAGTCAAAACAGAAGGAAAAGAAAGAAATAACATGAGCTGAGAAATGAAGGGGTTAATGCTATGAAGCCTGTGGGTGCAAACAGGGTTCTGTTAAAAATGAAATTGAGTGGAGGTAGATAAAAAGAAATCTGAAACAAATTTTCTGTAGAATATGGCCTTTCCACATAGGCAGAAATCTATCTCTTCACTTCTGTCTGAAGCGAGAGTCCAATAGAGAATCTCATCTCTTAATTAGAAAGAAAAATACTTATCAAACACATCTCATCACTGGAAAGCTAATGATCCACAGCTGCTAGTCTGAAAGGGAAGGCTTTTTTTCTGAACAGTAGGAAGTGTTAATCATTTTAGATGAGATTTCTTTTTAAAATATACTGTAGTTTGCAAAAGAATAGGATATTCAGTATTCTAACTTAAATTATTTTTTTAAGTGTTATACACCAGGGATAGTGTCATGTGTTTCCCTGAATGATCATTTAATGCATGTGTCTCTCACTGAGAGTATCATCATAGAATCACAGAATGTTTCGGGTTGGAAAAGACCTTAAGACCATCTAGTTCCAACCCCCTGCCATGGGCAGGGACATCTCCCATTTTACCATATCACCTAAGGGCCTGTCCAGCCTAGCCTTGAACACTGCCAGGGATGGGGCATGTGACGTTTTAAATGGCCATTTCATGCCTGTGACTCTGAAAATCTTGATCTTGTGGGGGAGAAGAAAAAAAGTCCTTCCTTATATTCTTCTGTGTAGGGAATGGCAGCTATATTAAACTGTAACCTTTGAGACTCCCACTCCTCACTTAAAATAGTTGGCTTGTTTCAGTAGCAATGAGGCTCCTTTTTTAAATGATACAGAGCCATTATTTTCTTGGAAGAGATCATACTAGATACAGTCCATGTTTCAATAGATGCCTTACAAGCATAGGCAAGTCTATAAACTGACCTTTTAAACTTGCTCAGTAGCTTTTCTGGATTTTTACCCCCCATACTTGTTTAATTGTGGAATACATAGGATTTCCTCCCTTCCTGTGTGAAGGTTTCTGCATAGCACTACACTTCTTTCCTCGCTTCCCCCCAGCTACTGGGCTCTTTAAGTCTTAGTCCTGTTCTGCGCTATATTTTGGGTTTGCTCATGTTTACTTGTTTTTTTACAAGTTTTGTTTAATAATAATACTAATACTAAAATACTGATACTGGGAATCTGCTTGCTTTCTCCCATGTGCATTTCATGAGTGCATTTCTCTTCTGGGGAAGATAGGCCATTTGGCTTGCAGTGTCATCACTGTGCTGTTCTCACACAGCACACATCTCATTTGCGTTGCAAATATGGAGTCCCTGTTTTCCTAGTGACCGGCTGAGACAAGTGCCTGAAAGGAACTGGTTGAGATTCAGCCAGACTAGATGGAAATTGTATGGATATTACTTGATTTTCTTTCCATCTTTCTAGCCAAAGTTCAGATGGGACCATAGGAAAGACTCTATGCATTGCCATTTCTCAGCAGGTAATCTCCAGTACTTGGTTTTCTGATACTTGGGTCCTATTTGCCAAATTCGAGAGCTCCCTTCAGCATGCATCCATTGACTTGAATCATTTCTGGGGTTAAAGGGTGCAAGGACTATTTTCTTTACTTTTGAGACATAAATTCTATTGCAAGTTGCCTTTATCAAATTTACTGCATCAAATCTCTATAATCTTCCTCTCAGAACAGTGGTTAGCAAGCTCATAGAAGAACTCGAATTCCTTGAGCTGATGTTTGCTTCTTATTCATTACCATTTCTGACAGATTTCCTTTTAACTAAACAACCTAAAAAAGGCAGTTTTCTTTCAAATGAAAAACTGTTAGAAGTGCTGGCATCCTCTTATCTACGTCACACACACACACTGCTTTTTTACTTCTTTCAGTATTTATTATGTTTGACTTACAGTCTCACAGGACTTCCATATGTATAGCGCTTAGTGGTAGAAGGTAGAGCATGAAGTATGTTAGCTTATATTGAGAAAGAAGACTGCCCAAAGTGCAGATTATTTTTTTCTTTTACACGGAACCTTGTGTTTGGTAAGAGTATTTTATTTTAACTCTAAGCAAAAATCCAGAATAAGATTGTTAAAATCCCCATTTTAGTCTTAGATTTACCTTGGTGGCTAATTTGGGAAAATGAGCGCCTTTTAGTTTACCTAGTATTCTCTAACTACATTACCTTTTAGTTTACGTAGCTATTGGCATTGCTTTAGTTCTGTGGCACAACACCTTCTTTCACTTTAGTAGGTATTAAAAAGACAAATATCCAAAACAGTAATTATTTGGATGATAAAGGCTTAGTAAGATTTCCAGCTGTGGTACATAGTGTGATTTGCTATAGTGCTTTCACATTCAGTTTTTGTTGTATTAGAAGAAAACAAACCAAAGTTATGGCTAGAGCTGGCTAAAATAGGGGTGTTTTGTTCACAGGCAAAACCAGATGTAAAAACATTTTCAGTCTGACCCCATCTAAGTTCAGCTATTTTTAATTCTTTTCTGCAAAACAATAATTTTGTACCAGCACTAGAACATTCAGGCTTCCAAAAAGTCATGTCTGTACCACCTGATGGGTCTGACAGACCTCGTCCAGCATTTGAAGCTGATCAAATTTCCATAGCAGAGATCTGAGGTGTATAGATGGTTTCTCTTGGGCTGCGATCCTTGTGTGGCCCTGGCGCAGGAGAGTATCCCCAGTTACCAAGGCACATGCTTCTGCCAACTTCCATCCATGCAGCACTCGAGGGTGCTGAGGAAACATTTCAACAAATCAGTTTTCAAAGGGGTGGACTTAGGTGGCTTCTCAGCTTTCTTTTTAACTCTGTTTTCAGGGAGTCTGTGGCCAGCACTGTTTTACTTGTTTTCATTTTTACCTTTTAGTGTGATTTTTTTTTTTGCAAGGCTTTTTTTCTGATTTAATTATGTTGCTTACTTCTGCTTGCTTGTGTGACATTACTACTAAATGATCAAGTTCTTTCTTCTAAATAGATTATTAATTTTTATTCATGGAAATAGCTAAGTTTTCTTTCCTAAGTTGTAACTTTATTATCATGCTATTTGCATTATTTTACCTACATAAGCATTATTTTACAACACAACAATTAATACAATTAATATTCCTCTTAGACTGCATCATTTTTCCTTTTGCATGAATTAAAGTATGAGCAGAAAGTGTAGCAGTTGTTTCATGCGGGTAAGTGGCTGTTCAGCAAAGTGGTTAACAACTTTCCTGTCTAAGGAGAGGTGGGATTCCTTAGAGTTGTCTTAATTTATTAGTCTTAACTGTGCACAGTAGTTTAATGTAATGCTGATTTGAATCACTTTTTTCTGCTCTGTCTTCCAGATTTTTCTTTTTGTGGTCTGGAACTTTGAGCTGTACATGATACCACTGGCTTTGTTGTTGCTGCTGGCGTGGAACTACTTCTTGATCATATCAGGGAAAGATAACAGGCAACATGATATGGTAAGTCTTCTCTACTTCAAGAGCATACATGTCCTTTTATTAACCAGACAAAATGTTGTAATTGAATTAACTATGACATCTTTTTGAAAATGTCTCAGTTCACAATGCTTGATGGACAATTTTCCCACCTGCAATTTAATTTAAATTTTCTCCGGCTGTCCAGTAAATATGTTTGGTTTTGTTGAAAATATTGTGTAAAAATAAAGTAGAACATGTACTGTCCTTAGAATCTGGTTTGTGTGGGAGCAGAGATGAGAGACGTGACCACCTTTTCTGTGTTCAGGAGAAGGCACATTCCTTGAAAATGTTTTTGTGTGCCTAAGTCCTTATGTTGCATTTTTTATCTCACATATTGCAGTTAAAGGTTGAAATTATTCCAGTTTCTTGACAGTTTCAGAATGTATCACATTTTATTGTATTTCACAGTTCATCAATAATATGTTAGCATTTATTGAGCTTAGCATAGGACTTTCTTGTTATTTTATTCTCATGTAATGCTGTCACTTAAATGCATATAGTTGGGATATAAAGTAGCAAACATTTACTAATAACTGCCATTTATTATTAATAAAAGCATGGTTGAGTACTACATATCAGAAGTTGAAGTTGTCTCCATACTGTGCAAATTTTCTAGTGTCCAGGCAGCTTAAGGATTTTGCATGTATACTATTGCTGAGACTGATGAATTTGATATTTACATCAGTATTCATATCCCAAAAGCAGTGTACTTTATAGGACATTATGATCTGGATGGATAACTGGATAAGTGGGAAAAAAAAATGTGTTAAATAATTGGTCTCAAAGGATAGCGATTAATGAACGTTGGTTACAAGTGGAGTACAGCAGTGTACAAGGGCCTGTCATGTTTAATATGTTTGTCAGTTACCTGTAGGAGGTGGCAAAGTGCACTCCATCCAGGTTTTGGGTTACGCCAGTTAATACTCTGGATCTGCCAGTCAAAGGTACCTAGGTAGGCTGGAGAAATGCAACGGCAGGAACGTGATAAAATTGTTTGCCGATGACACCAAGCTGTGTGGTTCGGTTGATATGCTGGGGGGAAGGAATGCCATCCAGAGGGACCTTGACATGCTTGTGAGGTGGGCTGATGCCAACCTCATGAAGTTTAACCATGACAAGTGCAAGGTCCTACACCTGGGTAAGAGCAATCCCAAGGCACAGGTACAGGCTGGGCAGAGAAGAGATTCAGAGCAGCCCTGAGGAGAAGGACTTGGGGGTGTTGATCAATGAGAAAATGAACATGAGCCGGCTTCAGTGTGCACTTGCAGCCCAGAAAGCCAACTGTATCCTGGGCTGCATCAAAAGGAGCGTGACCAGCAGGTCAAAGGAGGTGATCCTGCCCCTTTATTCTGCTGTCGTGGGACCTCACTTGGAGTATTGTGTACAGTTCTGGTGTCCTCAACATAAAAAGGACATGGAACTGTTGGAACAAGTCCAGAGGAGGGCCACGAGGATGATCAGGGGACTGGAGCACCTCCCATATGAAGATCGGCTGAGAAAGTTGGGGCTGTTCAGCCTGGAGAAGAGAAGGCTGTGTGGAGACCTCATAGCAGCCTTCCAGTATCTGAAGAGGGCCTATAGGATGCTGGGGAAGGACTCTTCATTAGGGGCTGTAGTAATAGGACAAGGGGTAACAGGTTAGAACTTAAACAGGGAAAGTTTAGATTGGATATACGGAGGAAATTCTTTTGTGTTAGGGTGGTGAGGCACTGGAATAGGTTGCCCAGGGAGGTTGTGAATGCTCCATCCCTGGCAGTGTTCAAGGCCAGGTTGGACGAGGCCTTGGGTGACAAGGTTTAGTGGGAGGTGTCCCTGCCCATGGCAGGGGGGTTGGAACTGTTCATTCAAAATATTTGATATCTGTGCCAACTATTTTTTGTTTGGCTTTATCACATGTAAGTTGGGAACTAACTTTTGATTATTTGAACTTGGTTATCATCGCAGTGAGCATCTATCTTCTATGAAGTGATGCCTTTTCTAATTAACTCACCAAATCTTCAATAATATCTCAAGTCCTTAGCTCAGGTCATTAGCACAGTATCATTAGATTAGGAGTCATTTAAATATTTCTGTTTTCTTATGCAGAGTGTAAATATTAACTGAATTATTTAAGCAGTGTTTCCTGGTGGCTAGAGAATGCTTCAGGATTCACTCAATATGGCTTCTGTTCCCAAACCTCCAGCGATTCCTTGTGTGACTCAGTGAATTCATTGACTACTTATCTTAGGAATTTGTTCAGAAGTTACTTTGACATCCTCAAGCTAAAGATAAGACAAAAAGATAAATATATTAGTTTGTTAACTTTTTTCACTCACTAGACAAGTACAGTTAGAAATCATATGCACTTCAAATTTGTTTAATGTCTATTGAAAATAGTTAAATTTGGGACCTCCAAAAGTAGCTCAGCAGGGTTAGTTTCCATTGTAATATCCCTGCAGGAAAACAGTTATCAATTGTCTCATCAATTCAGGCATTAGGGACTTCACTCTTCTGTGGGTCAATGAAATAGTGATCACCATGTTTCTCTCCAAATATGTCAGAGGGAACTTGTTTGACTATCTCTATAAGCAAGGTATCATTTGCTGTCTTGGGCATCAGTTTCTTTGAAGTAGTTTGGAATTTACTTTCCTGTGAAATGATTCACCTGCCAAATGGTCTGGCTTACTCCATCATGACATAAGCCTGCACTGCTTGTTTGAGTGAGAGTGTGATACTTTTGCCATTTACTCTGACTCCTAATAAGTAATATGCACAAGTCCTGTCTTGAATTATAAGAGCAATTAATTTGGGGCACGGGGGAGCCCAAGTGTATTTACTAAGAGGAGATAACTCTATTGGGAAGCCAGACAGAAAGGTGAAACAGCATCTTAGGTGTTAGTTCTTTCATGGACTCAGCTGGACTCTTTGTAGGATTGTTCATCACTGTGGTTTTAATTGAACACTGGCACAGACTTAAAAGAGAAGCATTGGATTCCTTGTCTTTTATACATTTAGATTAAGATTGGTTGTGTTTCTGAAAGATGTGCTTTCATGAAATATGAACTCTTGCATTAAATGTGTAAGCAGATGTAGATAGATGTAGATTTAGTGGACAGTTCTGTTCTGTTAGAATTCAGAACTGATCTAAATGAATGAACTCCTGGCATTGGGTCATATGGCAGGTATAAAAAAAATCAGAGAGTAAATTTTTCCTTCCCGTATTAAGCAAAGCAAAAATCACTAAAATGGCATTCTTAATGCCTTCCTCTGAATTTTGCAGTAGTATTTTTTCCCTGAAGCTTATTCTCCAAAGGATCCTTGCACTTCCTTAAAATATAATTCCTAAATATCCGACCTCACAAAATAATTTCTTTTTAGCACCATTGCCATTCTGCTCTTAAACCATCACCACCTAAATGTGAAAGACTAGAACAGAGTGGATCTTACTGCTCTTATCCTTTTTTTCCCTGCTAGCCCTGTGCTTATGGCAGGTAGGGGGTATCAGAGCAGGGCACAGTGACAGACCACAAACTAACAGGAAGTATGCTGGGGCTTAAAGATTCTTGTATTTTCATTCTTTTTAAGAAATTACTTAATATTTCGATGTTTTCAAATGTGTTGGACAAAAACCCCCACCTTTACAGCTTGGAGAAAACAGCAGCACTGCTGACTGGGATCACTTCTCAGTGGTGCCCAGTGACAGGGCAGGATCAACAGGAACAAATGAAAATACACAAAATTCCATCTGAACATAAGAAAGCACTTTTACTGTGAGGTGGTCCAGGGCCACATTCCCCAGGGAGGCTGCGGAGCCTCCATCCATGGTGATATTCAAGACCTCACTGGACATGGTGCTCGGCAACCTGCTGGGAGGTGACCTGGATTGAGCAGGGTGTTTGAACTTGATGGTCTCTGGTCGAGTAGGGGAGTTGAACTCAAGATGTCCCTCCTGACAACCCCTGCCACTTTGTGATTTTTCTGACTGAAGATACTAATCTTTCTCTCCTTTTGGTCTATTATTAGATAGGGTTGGGGTTTTTTTCCAAGCAATTTAAATTTTAATAGAAGAACAATGCACAAGCCTGGAGTTACCTTCTGCCATATATACCCCTATGGAGAAGAGGTTTAATCAGTTCATATTCTGCATTTACAGTTAATACTTAGAGCCTTTAAGGGTGTATTAAATAGCTAATTTCCTCTTTAAGTTTTAAGTTGCATATGTCATTGCATAGAAAATGATGGTGAACAGCTGGGAGTTAATGTGCCATACAAAATTTTTATGAATGTGTATAATAGAGTATATACACATTATTGATCTTGTAAGCGTGGTATACATGATACATTCTTTAATTTCACTGGAGACTTTTTTTTAAAATAGGCTTTGATGATTTGTGTTTCTGGAGTATATGTTTGTATTAAAAGTTGGGCTGGACAAGGTCAGGATGAAATTTTGAGAATAGGAGAAAAATACTGTTGAAAACAACCTTTCATTCTGAGATTTCAACCAGTTTGTGTGGGTACTTTCTGTGTAGTCATCCAATATGATATGTATACTTAGATTTTTTTTTAACTTTGTTTTTTTCTGGAAATTGACCCATGAATAAAAACAAAAGGGGGAATGGAAAGAAGGATGCTCATGAATCATGACCCTAGATTCTTTCTGTCCTCGAGAAAGAGTAGTAGGCATGATGAGCTTGAGCTGATCGTGCAAAACCAGCTCAGCTGCAGCTAGGAGATCGTTTTTGATTACAATTGGATCACTGTCTTTGGGGGCAAGGCAACAGTGTCTGTCAGAGCTTTTGGTGAATTTTTTGGAGGCAAGAGAGTGCAGCTTTGTTGTGAATTCAATACAGAAGCTAACCCCACCAGGAAAGTGCCCGAATTCACCCACCTGGTTTACTGCAAATTTACAACCAGCTTACCAAGCAAATAAACAAGGTTGTAACTCGATTTTTCTCTGTTTCTTCACATTATGGTCTTAATACGTGGAAGCATAAACCTTT